TCAAATGAAAGAATTTAATTATTGTCATGATTTAAATGACAATACATTGTCGGATTGTAAAATTAAAATCGAACAAATCGTGGACTCTGAGTAACCGTCGAAAAATTTTAAATGATGAGATCTCCTCCAAGCGTAACTCTAATCCATCTGTCGTTAAATGAATATACAGGAATTTAATCAATTTATCCATGATTTACAAAACTACTCTTTAAATCGTGACAATAAAGATAAAAAGAAATATAATATACGCCCTATTTACTTCTTAGATAATTATTTTGTGTATCAGGAAGGTATTCCTGGTAGTAAACATTTATTTCATTTCCGGTGGCACTCGTTTGATGAAATATTAAGGATGATCCTAGTTCAAAAGATGAAAATTCGATGAAAAGCACAAAAGGGAAAGCGATGATCATTAAGTCTAACAATGTAACAATAAGCCACGAGTTCAACAACAACGAGGATCAAAGTCAGGAAACTTCTCCAAAGACGCTTAAATCTCCCGTACCAATACCAATGACATCCATTAGCACTATTCTCAATCACGTTGACGAGGATAATAATAATAATATTTCTCCGATTAATCATCTAACTTGCTCTTCATCCAAACCAATTGATTCCGAACCTTGTGCTCATACATCTATGAACAACAAACAAGTTTTTTTTTGACTTCATTTCCTAATATATATTTTCACGTTTACAAAATTAATTTATTACTTCGGTAATTTCGGGTAATTTCGGGATGTATTCTTTTCTAGAAAATTAATTTTTATATGGTTATATCTATGAAAAATTGGCAAAAAAAATTTTTTTATTAAAATCTAAGAAATAAATGGATCATTTTTTTTTCAATTGGATAAAAATTAAAATCATAAAATAGTAAAGATATTATAATATATAAATTCTAGCAAAAATTCTTCTTGGAATGACGCCTTAATTAATTAATTATTTTTTTCATTTCGCAAAAATTCTCTTGAAAGAATTCCGTACTTTCATCGTCATATGTTCCATCAAGAATGCTATCGATAACCAGCAGAGGATCCTTTCCATTGCTTAGAACGAACATGATTTGCCAATCTCGTTCGTCCAAATCTTTCTTTGCATGACCTTGAAACATCAGTTCGCCTTGGCTGTAAACGTATCGTAATACTCGGCAACGTAATTTCTTTAAACCCAACCACTTGCTCACTCTGAGGATGACATGCCATCGTTGTTTATTCCACTTGGGATAAAAAAAAAATGATAATTTAATAATTCGAATCATCTTTTCAAAAGAACGTAATTTCATAATAATCAGTACACACCACTTTATATAAATTAGTATCACAAAAATCGACCAATTCTGGAACATCAAATTTATGCTTACAGGCCAAGTATGCGAGCACAAATAACTGATCTTGTTCATTAGTTTCGATCGGATATCCATATCTGAAAAGTACAATAAAAAATAATTTCTTCTTTAAAGAGTTTAATTGAAATGTATTATAAAAAAAAAGTGTGTGAATGAATTACATAAAAGCAATAAAATTCTGAAAATCCACGCTATCATATAGCAATTCAACATTTTCCTGTCCTTTATATTCATGCAATCTGGAGATTGCGATTTCTTTATTGCAACTGTAATCATGAAATAAATATTCACTTCTTTTCTCATCGTCTTTATGAGCTAATAATTTGAAAATTTTCTTAAAGAATCCAGAAGCGCAATAGAGAATGGTAGTATGAGCGTATATATGAAAATTATCGACGCGCAAAAGGATGTTTGCAGTTGTGGTGTCGTTAAGTAATGATCGAACAAATTCTGTACGATCCAAGTAAATTTGATGTTTTGGAGACATGTTGGTTTTTTAAGGTTATGTTAAATCACCCTCACTTAAATTCAAAGGGTATCATATGAATCACTTCATTTTACATTTTGCTGATATCATGTCTTTTTCAGGTACTACCAACGTCAATCATAAATATAAATAATACAATATTTCACTAGTAATAGTAGAAAATTTAAATGAAGAATTATATATTGAAGTATTTGAACGCTTCTAGTAGAAATTACGTGATAGTAGTATATTACAATCTATATATTTAGGAATAAAAACCCTTATACTAAAAAATACTAATTTATAATAAATGTAGTTAAAAGAAATTCAGTTTTTGCCTTTTAGGCTAGTTATATTTGTGAGGCAAATAGTATTACTAGTTCTTTTTAATACTACTTTTTTAGTATAACAATCTCTTTATATCAAATATTATTTAACTATAAGATTTTCTAGTCTATTAATATATGGTCATAATAATGAGAAATTAATAAACAAAATTTAAATAATATTTTTTTTAACCATTTACATTAACAGTTAGTAAATTGCAGAATATTTATTGGAATAATGGGAGTTTCAGCTCATGAGGATTTGAAATATGTAAGTTTAGGATACATATTATTAAGATTATTATTCTAAACTACTAAAAATTAGTTTTAATTAAACAAAACTAGTTTTAATAATTTCAGTTATTAACTAAATTAGTTTTAGTAGTCTATACTATAGAATTTTAGTTTCAAATAATAATGTTATATATTATCTTTTATTTAAACATTATTTATATAAAAAATTTATTAATACTATTATTCAGTCGTATTATATTAAAATAAATAAATTAAATGGTAATAATCCAAATTAAGTTTAAAAAAAAGTTGAAATATTATTAAATTATGATAAAAAAAATTATTTGATATTAACTATGAAAAAAACCCAAAATTTTATAAATAATCTTCAAACACCTTCTTATATAATTAATGAATGGAATATAAAATTAAAATGTTACAATTATATAAATATTATTTATATAAATTGACTATTACTAATATTTCTTAATATGAATTCTTAATTGGAAAGAGTAACAATATAATATGAAAACATTTCTAGTAAAATCAAGCTATAAGGCATAATAAATTATATGATCTAATGTAATTTTATTGAAAATGTTTTTATATAATAGAATTATATAATAGTTTTAAGTTATTATATTCAGAAGAATATCAGTTTAGAAAAAAAAATTGTATTTAAAAAGTATTATTATGTAGTATTAGATTTCTAATATTACACCATTTGCAAAGAATAAATTATAGGTAAAAAAAAAGTAATAAATTTGATCTTTGAAAGTATTTTTTATTTTTTTTAATAACAATTATAATTTTTTATAGAAAGAATTTTGGATTAAAGTAATTTAAAATAAAAATACTTTTTTTAACTATACAAAAATAATTTTATTGTTTTAAATAAAAATTCCAAATTAAATATAAATTTAAATAAACGTTCTAATTTAAATTTAAAGATAAATAAAAAGGATCTGATTAAAAAAATATTATTAATAATTACAGATGATTTTTTATATAATGATATTGAAATAAACTTATTAGTCAGCTAATTTAATCATATACAGTATCTAATTATTATATTTTTTATATAATTTTTATTTATTAGTTTTTGAAATAAGTTTCTCTAATTACTATTTCTAATACTTGCAATTACATAGTCCTGGTACTAAGTTGTATCTTAACTACCATAAAAAAAGCTGAAACAATTTAATAACTTTTTGATAATAAAGCTAATGACATTATATCCTTTTATAAAACAAAAGAAAAAACTTAATTACTTGTTCTTTATCTGAAAAACACAAAAAAAGCTTTTTAGAAAAAATTTCATAAGATATATATTCAAAAAGGAAACCATTTATTATCAATTAAAAGAAAATTGTTACCAATATCAAGAAGATATGAAAGGGCTTTATACTACTTGCAATACTTATTTATGGATATGAAATATTTAGATATTTACGAGTTCTAATTTAAAAAGAAATTAGTTTAATAATAGTTCAGGTAAAATTAGACTAAAATTAATATATAAAATATCAAAGAAATACTTACAATTTCTAAATTATTTAGAATAAGTTTATTTAACTTTTTGAGGATTTACAATATTTTATTAAGAGATTATATGAACAAAAATTCAAATGGTACAACAAAACATGATTCTTATATAAATTATTATTTAATTTAACAAATTACATAATCAAATATGTAATTAATGTCGAGAATTTTTTATCATTTCAATGATCTTAAAAAGAATATCAAATTAACCGCTTATAATATGAAGAAAAACTTATCCTATCAAACAAAAAACTTTCAATTCAATGAAATACTAATGGAATTAGATGAAAAAGAAGCTATATTAATATCGCAAAACGTTTCTAAATGTAAAGTATGTAACGTGTTGTTTGTCAAGCAAAATTGATGAATCATTTCTAAACAAATTCCCAAAACTCTTAAAATAACACACGTAATTCGAGATCAATCCTAAGTGATATCAAATCACAAGATATAAATGATATCAATCACAATTAAAATATAAATATATATAGGTTCCCTTTATTCGTGCTTAATTACTTTGTCGTAACCTGTCGAAATGAATTACTTATGTGATCAATCGATCAGAAAAGAAATCGTATAAATTTTCTCTACTGAAAAATTGATTTTCCTCTTTTTAAATATTGGTAAAAATATATATTGCATTCTTTCCTTATTCATATGCCTCGAAAGATTTTAAACTTTGTTTTTTTGACATCAGTACACTATTTTCTCGATTGAACAAAGTTGACTTTTTCACAATTTTAATATAAACATAAGTTCGTAAAACTTTAAATTTCCTACATATAATTATAATATAATCGCAATACAAAAACAAGTTCAATTCTTAAATTATAAGCACCCTAAATATCGATATTAATTTATCAACTGGAAAATAAGTTACCATTAGAACTTTTAGCAAATATTTCAGTAAATAAAGCTGAATTGGTTGAGAGATTAACGTAAGATAAAAATAACACATTTTCATATATCATGATATACTAAAGTCAAATTTGGGTTTAACTTTCTCTTTTATTAAAATACCATATTATAGATTTGTAACGTTAACCATTCTTCAACGTTAACATATCCAACGCTTGATATTATGTCAATGAAAAATAATAACGTGCACGATATTCTAAGTCATAATAGCTTAGAAGCTAATCATTCAAATTCAAATTTTTACTTTCGCAAAAACCAAATTGATGGCAATATACAAAGAATTAAAGAATGCTTTACCACATTTACAACTAACCAACCCGTTGAGAGAAATCAAACTACAGATACATTCGACTTACTCTTGAACAATGATCAGCGAAAGTCTTTAGATTTATATGATATCGATGTGTCTTCACAAATAAGCCAATTTGAACAGCTTGCAGTTGATAATGACCCTGCACCGCATTCAAATAATGATACTAATGTTAGTGATATTTATAGATATAATTCAAACCGAAATGAATTATTCAATGATAATTTAGCACCTTCTTTACCAAAGCCTAATCAAACATTCTCTTCAAATGAAACCATTGATCCTAGTCATTTCAATATTGAATATGAAGAAAATTATTATCACAGGTCTTTGCACTCAGAAGCAATACTTAGACCAATGTTTGTTTCTGACTCGCAACAATTAAGATTATTTTTTACACAATTACAACCTTCTTTCCAACAAGAAATTCAGATTATACCTAATGACGTTCACCATATATCATCTAATAACCTCAATGTCCAAGAAAATGATAAAGTTAATAATATTGATGATGAGAATAATAAAACATCGTCTCCACCTGGCATCTCGTACATAATGAGGTAACCTTTTATTATGTGTTTTGTTATTTGCTAGGTTCTGGTAACCATTTAACATGATCATAAGGATCGTCTAATGTTAAACGTTTATCAAGAATCACTTTGTAGGAAATGATCTTTTAGCTAACAAAGCAAATGTTTAGGAATGCTGGAACCAAGCCAAGAATACCAAATAATCCTTTCTCTAGGTTACAACCACTCTTGAAATCTTCACATCCTCATTTATAACAGTCAACTTATTGCAATGAACTATTACGATGATGATCGCAATGATGTTATGTCTTATTCATGGAATACCATCAATCATTTATTAGGTCCAATCAAAAGAGCACAACAAACCATTCCTCTTTATTGTTGGGAAGATCAAGTCATTACTTCATCCAATCCACCTCAATTAGAAACTTCTTTACATTTTACAACAAACTGTTACCTTAAGCAAGTACCTTCTCGCAAGCATGCATTACAAGTTGATATGTCATCCGAGATATCATTTAACGCATCCAATCATTTTATGAGCCAACGAACAGAAACGTTTGTTGAAATTCAAGTAACTATTTTTCACCTATAATTTTTTATAATGCTTTTAACAATTAAATTAAATATTGTTTAAAATAACCCCCTGTATACAAAAAATTTGACGTGTTTATCAAATTCAATAAGGATAATTTTGTTTCAGACACACTAAAACCTTCAGTTGATCTTAACGATTTAAGAACAAATGCTCAACCTCGAAAGCAAAGGCTTAGATATCCGGGTGATATGTATACTCCTCAATGGGTAAGATATTCAGGCCATGCTAAAGAAGGATATTGTGATAATTGCAAACCGGGTAAATGGTTATAACTGAAGAATAGCGCTTTTTGGTATTTATATTGATAAAATTTCGATATTAATTAGTTATTGAGTTGATTTATTAATAACTATCCTTTAATATTTATCTAATTTAGGTACCATAAGCAATTCTTCCATGGTATTTCTTCTGTTTCTGGCAAAACGTTTGTTTCTCCAATCGAGACGCGAAAGTTTCATGATAATTGTATTGAACGCTTGTGTCATCAATGTGGTCAATGGGTTCCTATCGCTGCTACAAGGAAAAAGAGCTCAATGCTTTGGTTTCGGCATGCGCATAAATGTCATGTTTATATTAAACCTAAAAATTGTCTTCCCCGCAGTAAAGAATGCTAAAGAAAATTGTTTTATCAATTGATAAACATTAGAAGATTTTACAATTTGCAAGAATAAATTACAAATATTTTAATTGCACTCGAATTTTTTTTTTTAGTTTGTTTGTTTTATTTTTTTTTATTCTATTCTTCAATTATTATAGTTGAAATTCTCTGAAAAACGAATTTTCCTTAAATAACTATTGCAGGACATTTTGTATTACAGAATTTTAATAAAGCATATATTAATTTAAATGATCAATTTTATTTTTTGATTAATAGTTGCTTAGAAAATTTCTTGAAATAAAACAAAGTTATGCCTCAGGTTCCAAATATAAACTTACAATTTACATTAATAATCTTATCCAACTTAATATAAAAAATTTCAAATGAAAGTAAAAAATTTTTTAAATTGAATTTTATAAATTACAAATCAAAAAGATTTAAATTTAGGTTAATGAATTATTAATGCAAAAAGTATAATTTAATTTATATATTTTTAATTAAAAATCATTTAAAAAAAATTAAAGAATTTAAAGATTTTAAAATAATAATATAGTTAAACTATTTTTTTTTAAAAAGAAAAAAACTATTATTTTACTTTTTAATTAAAAGAATAGTAATAAAAAAAGTTTATTTATTGAATATTAAAATTTTTTGATATAATCATAATTAATATATAAATAAAAGAGCATTTAAATGATATTTTATTAAAGTAATATTTCAAATATAAAAATCTTCTATTTAATAATTATAATTATTTATTAAATAATATTATTTTTATATATATTATTATTCAAATAAAAATTAAGCAAACCAAATACTTATTTAATTAAATAGCAGCAAAATTTAGCTCAAATCTTATAAGATTTTAAAAGAGATTTTAAATAAAATTATATTTTGTTAATTTTTTTAATAACTTCAGCTTAATGTTTCTTTACAATTAAATTTCAGAATTAGAAAGTATGATGATTGTAGATTATATATTAAGTTGAAATAAATAATTTTGATTATCTGAAATAGTCAAAATAGTTGAAACATTTTGACTTTGAAAAGGTCTAAAAGTTAAAATAGTCAAAATAACATCATATCACATGATTTTTCATATATAGAAAAAATTAAAAAACAAAAGATATATGATTTGGCTAATATTATTCAGTTTTTTATGAAATATTACTATTTGATTCCTTGCGACTAGACGGATTCAATAAGCTAAATATCATTAATTTTAGATCAGTCAATCTCATGATAATCATAATTGTATTTCTAAAATCTGGATCTCTTTATTTAAAGTAGAATTCATTGAAGTATAACTTTAGCTGATAATTCAATTATAATTATTTTGATATTGGCTGATCCAAAATCAATGATATTTAGCTTATTGGATCCATTTAGTCACAAGAAATTAAATAGTAGTTATTCATGAGAATCATATGATATAGACCAATCTTTGTTTTTTTTCTTATATATGAAAAATCATGTAATATAACATTATTTTAACTATTGGACTTTCATTTTGACTTTATATATATAGAAGTTTTGCAATAGAAAGGGAGAAAACTCTAAAAAATTTTTTTTTAAATTAATATTAAATCTAAACTTATTTTACTAAAAACATCATATTTAATTTAATTTGTAAAGTAAATTTTTAATTTTTTTAGAGTTTTCTTAAACCTTCCATATGATAGATTATATATAACAAAATATTTATTATAAAAAATTAAATTTATTATTATATTAGAATATTCATAACAATTATTTATATCTTTATATTATAAGAATTTATAAGCAACCAATCTATTTATAAGCAATTAAAAATTTTTTAAATTAATTTTATAAATAAATAATAAAAAAATTTTAATTTTTTAAAAACTAAAGATTTAATTTTAAAAAATTATTATAAATTATTAACTAATCAATCTATGTGACAATTGATTTCTTAGATCATCGATCTTTTTTGAAAAAAAAGTTTAAAGTATTAAAGATTTAAAAAAATGTTCATAGTTCTAATATTAAAACAAATGATCAACCCCTCAAAAAAATTTTCACTCTAAGAAATAGCCATGTATAACATCTATGAAGCAATCAAAACACTTGATTCAAAAGGGGAAATAACTACACTACGAACTTTCTTCACTAATAATCCAGAAAAAAAAGTTGAAGCGGAACATATCCTTCCTACATGTGAAGATAATGAAGAGGTGGTTGCTTATTTCAAAGATCTCTTAAAACCTGATATGTTCTCTCTTAGCCGTGTCATATTTGCTAATAATACCAAACACTTACTTAAACTTGCTTTTTTTTTTCTTCTTTTCATCATCAACCTGCACAAAAAACACATTCATGTTATCGTAGATCAATCATCTAGCACTGGTAAATGTTTACAGTTAATACCAATTTTGTAGGTTTTTTTTTCCTTATAATCAAAAGTCACCCAAAAATTTATCATAGAACCCAATGAGTTTCGAGGAAATCATGAAACAGATATTAAAAGGCTCAATTGCTAGATCGGATAACCCAATTCAAGATTTCTCTAGTTGTATACCTCTAAAGGAACGAAATAAAAAATAATCTCAAAAAATTTCATACAATCAAAGTCCGTCTAATTCTACTGTCGCAAAATCTGGCTATGAATTTCTTGTCTGTTGCGAAGCTCCTGGTATCGGTAAGTCATTCTTATCTGTAAAGTATTCTAAATTGAATACCTGTCATTCATTCAAATTAATACTAGTGGCACCATAAGTAAAACTCACTACAGAGTTGAATTGTTTAATCATTTGAAAAAAAATCCAGAAGAAATTTTAAGACATTCTCTCTTTGCTCCTGATTTTTTCAATTTACCTTGATTTCGGACAAAATGTAGAGCGATGTACTTGATAACAATTTGACTGCTGATTCTATACTCGCTATATGTATCGCTTTTAAATTCTTCGTTTCCAGATCGAATCAAATGGACTTTATAGAATTCCGTGTAAAGGTTTATCAGCACTTCAAATAAAGTAGTACGACAGGTCAGTTGGATCTGGGAAAATTTCATTCAATCATCAACCTAAGCAATGTAATTCGAAACATTCGTAAGTATCGTCGGTTACTAAATAATTAAACCTTATTTATTTTCCTTCATATCGATGAAATTCAAATAATATTTAATTATGAAAAATATTGGAGAAAAGAGGATGCAAATTTACAATTGGAAGGGAGGAATCATTCTTCATATCAAGAAACTAAAAAGGAAATTTTCAAGAAATTATTGTATGTATTGGGATCATATATAAAGTCAAATATCAACTTTATTCAAACATTTCTGTCTGGGACGGCATTACAAGATGTCGTTCAGCAGAAAGAACTGACAATATATACTTTCGATTATATCAATTATCCTCTTCTCTCAATGACTGCCTGTATCGAGATAGTGGATCATTTCGCAAAACAATATGGTGATACTGAGTTCCGGTGGTATCTTGATCGACCATTTATAAAAATCCTGGATGATGCCCGTGGTCTTCCACGTGCAATTGAATATATTCTCAATGATGTTTTAGGTACGAGTCACAATAATGCAAAAAAATTTTCAGGGATAGAATCAAAGGTCAATATCTTCAACAATCATCCGATTGCTTCATCAGGATTGCAGTCAGATTAGATAAGAGGTATGCTATTACGAGATAATTGTCAATTTGTTCAGTTCTTTTCAGTACACTTACATGTAAGTCATTTTTTTTTATTGTTCAGCTATGGCATAACTAACTTTGTTGAAAAAAAATAAAAATCTTGCACTTGTATTGCTCAAAAATTGTATGAGAAATGATTCTGTTACAAGGTTTCAGAAAGTGTTGATGAATGATGACAATTGTTTATTCACTTATGGGAAACTAGAAAGAGATCAACATATCATTCTGGAAGAAATCAATAAACAACTTTCGATCACTATGCCAGTATATTTCATTTATCTTTACAACAAAGTACTCAAACTTGCTGATGGTATTCTTGCCAATATGTTAAAGCCAGATTCAGATGGAATGGAAACATTGGGAATTATTTGTCACACATTTTGAAGCATTTAAAGTTAACCTTCTTGTAAAATCGGGAGTGACAACCGCAACATTTGATGAAATTTATCCTGTCGCATTGTGAAAATTCTGATAAAGTTGCAATGAAAATAGTGGAATCTTCTTTTATTAATTGATTTCTTGCCTATTATTGTTAAAAAAAAGTTAAATTAACGTTATATAGATATTCTTGAATTAGATTTTTTTTTGTCTTAAAAATTTTAAGAAAATTATTTTTCTAATAAAATTATATAGTTATACACACAATAATATAATATTTTTCAAAAAATTAAAGAAAATTACCTAAAGATTTATTAGAATTATTATCATTTATTTCATATTAAACAGTTTCTTCAGTAGATACTTTTTTGTTTGTAGATTTATTATTTTTTTTACGCTCTTTCATCTTTGTAAAATTATTTTTGAAAAAATTCTGTTAGATTCAGAGTTAAAATTTAGTATAAACTAATACTATATTTTAACTATTACAGTCAACTCTTTCTACAGCGAATTTTGATATAACGAATTTTACAATACAACAGATTTTCAGTGTCAGACAGATTTTTAAATATAAAAAAACCCTT